TTATAATTATATATATGTATATACACGGAATATAAACAGCTTATGCAAAACAGATAAATATCTATAAGTAATCTAAAGTAAACTAAAATTGATAGTTATAAAAATATAATTATAAAATTATCTTATTTTAGATAATGTCTTTCCTTTTGTGGGTATAGCATCTGAATGAAGAAGAATTCTTCTTTTACTAATTTTATCATTTCTCTTCAAAATACAGAGAGCATAATTGACAATTTCTAGAGAAATATTCAGGACTTTTTTCTTCTAAATCTAGTCTCCCATTTCCTCGTATCCGCAACCATCTGTTAAAATAATTTATTAATGTAAAGAAATATTAAATACACATTATACAAATAATATTGAAAAATTGAAAATATTTATATATGATATATCTATTATATTTTTTAGGAAATTTACATGTCTTCCTTCTAATTCTAAAGATTTCTAGGACATCCATTATTAAACAATTATTTAATATTTTTTCCACTCATTTTCTTGATATGCAATCTATTTTTTTTTTATATCTGAAACAGAGCTAAGATCAAAGTGTTTTCTGCAAGAGAATTGAAAATCTGTACGATATATACTACATGAGCTGAAAAATCCCGGGATTTTTAATGAAAATAAACGTTTTTTGGGCAAAGTTATATTTATTCCTCAACATAGTTGCTTTCGAGGGCGATACACTTGGTATAACGATTTTCCAACATTTCGATACCCTTTCTATAGTACGAAACATCCAAGCCTTCGAAATACGCCTGGGTTTCCATGACTTCCTCCATTCGATGTGAATCTCTTTCCTTGGAGCCACCGCTTGAGGTTTGGGAACAGATAATAGTCGCTGAGGGCCAAGTCTGGAGAATACGGTGGATGAGCAACCAATTCGAATCGGTCCAATTTGGCCATCGCTTTTAAGGACGTGTGTGACGGTGCGTTATCGTGAACAGAACGTACAGAACGAAGGTGAAAGTAGCATCACTTAAATGACTGTAACTTGTAAACGAATGAACGAAATGAAACTTCATACATGAACTAGTGACTCTCGAAATGAATCATGTTCATTTTCTAGTGGCGCCACCTATTGAAAAATCCCTTTTCAGCCCATGTATGTACAGATCTACAATTCTCTTAAGGATAATTGTCACTTTCTTTATTCCTTTCACTTGATTTCACTTCACTGCACTTCACAATAATCCACTTCACTTTACTTCACTATCAATATCTAAAACAATTTGTAAGACATCATTGACATAAAAGCATATGAACTTAATACTGTCGTTATCGCCAAATGCTACACAAACTTCAACGGTTAAGAGAAAGACCAAAAACACAAGAATAAGTGAGAGAAAGTTCAGATGGCGTTACCGTACGTAATGTCAGCTTGCGCATGTGCGCTACGATTTTGGCTTCACATAATGAATAGAGTTGCGCTACTATACTATATTGTGTCTCTTATTACTTCATGAGCCAGACTCTGATTAGATCAATCAGATGATCTCTATCTAGCTTTGCTTTTTGATGATGAATTGTTGCACAAAAGTGTGCAAACTATTTTTACGGTAATTACACGATTTAGCACCAACTATCTCAAAATCAATAAAATTAGGCTTATTCGACGCGTTTTTTTGCATGAAGTGAATTTGGTAAAAAAAAGTGTCACTCTGTCCCACGAACAGAGATATTAAGCGTTAAAGTTGATAACTGTTGAGGTTAGGAAATCTGTTACAGAGACAAAATGAGGCCGATAATTCTTCAAAAGAGCTATCTCCGATTTCGATGAAATTAGGATCATTCAAAGAATCTAGCAGAAAGAAGTTCGAGACTGCTCTGCGAAGAGTTACGTAGTAACACTTCAGTTAACTTTAAAGCTCAATATCTCGCTTCGCAGGGCAGAGCGACACTTTTTTCAGCCAGATTTTTTCATTTCATGCAAACACAGTAAATAAGTCTAATTTTGATTTTATTAATTTTATTGATTTTATTGATTTTGAGTAATTGATAATTGTATAATTACTATTTTTACTTATAGCATTTTCGACCCGAGTGGATTTGCTCTTATTTGGATTGGATAATGTTCTATTATTGTTGACGTTACATATTTTATCAATAGGAGAGCATATAACGTCATTAATCCAATCTAGATTGGTGGCAAATTCACTCGGGTCAAATGCGCTATTAGAAAGAAGTACATATATATATATTAAGTAAAAAAAAATTGGATTACGTATATTTCATCGCGTATTTACTTATGTTCGCCAGGAATTGTAAAACTTGTAGTTTTAGTAATTGTCGCTCGTCGATTAAATAGTTTAATTTGACATTTGAGAATAGGTTCAACTAAAAGTTCACATAAAAGATTCGTTTATTCGTTTATTTGCGAACTACCCATTTACAAAAAAAATTGCTTTTTGTTATAATGTTAAAATTATTTTTATTTGTTATTGGGTATATTCAGAACAACAACCGTTTACTTGAGCACTCAGTGAGCAGTTGTCATTGTCTAAATGCATTATGTTTATGAAATAACTAAGTTCTTGCATTTTAGCATACAACCAGCAAAACGTTACATCAACACAATGATACATCCACTAATTGCAGTATGCCAAATGCGATCAATAGCTGACAAAGTGAAAAATCTACAGGTTGTGAGCGAATTAGCAGCTGAGGCCAAACGCAGATCAGCCACAGTATGTACTTTAATAAATAATGTTTGATATCCTAAATTGCATGACATTAACTTTATTCTTCTAATTTATTATATTTTGCAGATAGCATTTTTTCCTGAAGCTTGCGATTTTTTGGCAAATAATAAAAAGGATATTGTCACCATGGCTGAACCTTTAACTGGAGTGATAGTGACGTCTTATAAAGAGATCGCTATTAAGAATAATATCTGGTTATCCTTAGGTGGAATTCACGAAGCTGTAAATACTTTAATTTCCATTACATTAATTTATTTAATTACAAAAGATAAAATAATTATAATTCTTCAATGATATATAAAGACATTCATTATTTCAGTCAGACAATATGGAAAAGATTTACAATACGCATATATTGATAAATAATGAAGGAGAACTGGTTGCTGTATATAGAAAATTACACTTGTTTGATATGGATAATAAGGATACTGGAGTACGTCTGATGGAATCGGACTATGTGCTTAAAGGAATTGAAATTGTGCCACCTGTGCTTACACCGGTCGGCAAGCTCGCGCTTAGCATTGTATCCTTAATTAAAATTAATAATCATGTCATTCCATCTTTAAAAATGATCTTCATATATGGTATTAAAAAATTAATTTTTTAAAAACAATTTTATCATTATTTATATTCCTACTAAATAATAATAACTTTTTGTTTGAAACACTTTTTGTAAAATTAAAAACAAAAAAAATATTAAAAGATGGTTGATTAAATTGGGACACTCTGGGGATTAATTGTGCATCTTAAAATGGGGTAAAAATTAAAAAAGTAATTAAATTGGTGTTGATCAATGAAATTATAAATATTCTAGTGAATTTGCTCACTTTTGTAATTTTCATTTCATTTCGAGATACACAATCGAATCCCTGCATATATAATGCATATATATAAATTATATATATATATATAGAGCAAAACACAACTTAACAATGATACAGTGTTATGACATACGGTTTCCCGAGTTATCGATAATATTGCGGAATATGGGAGCGCAGATTCTTACATATCCATCAGCATTCACATATGAAACTGGCGCTGCACACTGGGAGGTGATGCTGCGAGCACGAGCAATAGAAAATCAGTGTTATGTCATAGCTGCAGCGCAAACTGGCACGCACAACAAAAAAAGAATGAGCTGGGGTCATGCCATGGTAAATAATTATGTATATAGAATACAAATAAATACAGCATCAGGAGGCATAGAATAAGAATCAATGCTAGTACCGATTTGCGCAAAAAAATAATAATAATAAAGATACATAATAATAATAAATTTAATTAATTCTGGATGTTTCGGCTCTATTTTGAGCCATCTTCAATAGATAAATATATAAAGAATTACCGCAATGGAACAAATATCACTGATTAATAAATTGTAAAATTGTAAAATTGTAAAATATTTCATGCTTTTTCATATGCAAACTGCATGGACCATGCAGTGAGACGCGACCATTCTCAACATTAACCAATGTTACAGTTTCACGGTTGAATCGTGATGGATTCCCAATCTCAAAACTAAATCAAAAGAAAGTATTTTTCTTGTGTTAGAAATCCGATGGAAATTGTGATCTTAAAAAGTTGCTCATGTCTGTGCGCACGAAATGCAAGAGATCCGGTTCGACTCCCGGCCGATATATTTTTCGAAATAAGAATTAATTATTTACAGATTTTAATATGTCACATTCAACATTATTAAAATCATTTCGAAGCGAAAAAGCATCAAAAATTTGTTAAATTGGTAGTCAATTTAATTCATGATATTATTGCGATAGTTTAATAGAGTTAGTGTTTCAAGACCGAAAAATCATTTCGACGCGCGTTTCTAAGGAATTTATATATTACATACGTAATATATAAATTCATACGAATCATACAAGCATTAAGCTTTAGCTAGACCGTTTAAAAGCTTTGATTTCTATTATATATAGTTTGTGTTATCACATATACAGTTCTATAATATTGTTTAATAAATTGATTCAATTTATTTATACTATAATAACTTACTTTTTGACACTGTTTATAAAATTGTTGAATTTTTTTTATATTCCATCAATGAACGGAATCATTTAATTGTGTGTATAGTATAGTTATTTGTTTCGAAGATTAAAAAATTTCTCACTATAATTAAAAGCGTAATCCGTCATTTTCAGATTGTAGATCCTTGGGGTACTATTATAGCACAATGTGCGGATAAAATGGGTATAGCTATGGCAGAAATTGATCTTGCACTATTGGAAAAAATTAGGAAAAATATGCCGTGCGAACAACACCGCCGTAATGATTTATACTCAAGAATGGAATGTCAATAGTCTACTTAATACGGTTAAAAATTAATTAGTAAGTAATTATCATAATTATTGTAATTAAAATTCTTGTTCACTTAGTACTACTATTTCAAAGGTGATTCACATGCATGTTAGACTTGTTCGTATTACTTTGTGCATTTAGCATTTTTGTTTTCTCTCTTTTGTAAAAATATTTGGGATTTCAAGTAATGCGAACAGATTTATTGTTGCAATTGCCCACTATCAATCACAGCGACTTTTCCGTAGAGAGTTTTTTTTTTCTAGCACTGTGATTGGTTTGTGCGCAATTGGCTCGTGTGTAATTGATATATATCCTATTTCAGATTATGATATCAGAAGTGAGAAAATACACAATAAAATCTTAGTTGAAGTAATATTTTTTACAATAAGTTTTTTTATAAGTTTAAGATATGTATTATATCAGTAGCATCAAATTGATGAGCAAAAGGCCTAGCCAAATAAGCATATAAAAAATTTTAAACTCTTAAACTCTTAAATCAATTTTGAGTATGTTATTTTTGTTGAGTATGTCACATTGTTAAGCTCGATAAATGATTATTTTAAATCAAATTTCAATCTGCTAAACTTATCTATGCAGTAATAATAGCGAAAAACATGAATTTTAAGTTTTTATTATTTTTATTTTTCTTTCCTTTTCCTTTTCGTGTAAATTAAAAAATCTGAAAAATTTGACACACTCTTTAATATTGCTAATATATGGTTTATCAATCATAATATATGGTATATATTATATCTAAAAAAAATTTGTTTAGATTTTTGACGAAAAATTTGAATAAAAAAAAAATAACAAAATTTTTAATGAATGTTTTTTATTGAAAATATTTAAATACTATCTTAAAAAAATTATTGTAAATTAATCATTCCATGATGAATGAAATATGTCATATTCAGATTTTTTAAAAGTATGAAGCACTTTTCCTGCCTCCTTCTCTTCTCCCTCTCTTTTTCTTTTTTCCTTCCTCCTTCTTTCCCTAGAGAGGAAGGGAGGGGGGAGGAAGAGATGGTAATTTACATTCTTTTTAAAGTATGATCTAATCATTTAAATATGAGAATTTACATATTTTTAAGTCTATGTAAAAAAACTTAATCACTGTAAGAAATACCAAACATATTAACTAAGCCACACAAAAATGATTTAACGCAAACAACGTTACTGTAACAATTAAATAGAAAAAAAATTAAATATATATATTTTCCTTATACTATAATTTCATTAAAAAAATCATTTACTTCTAAATACACATATTGTATAAAATATTTTAAAATAATGTATGCATATGTATATAATAATGTATAATTATGGTATGTAATGTACGCATATGTATATAATAATGTATAATTATGATAATGTACCTATGTATAAATATAATAATATTATATTAAATATACTTCTGGTGGGAAAATATAAATAAAAAATATAAAATTAATTTTTAATTTTTGAAACAATGCTGCACATCTTTAAAAAAATCTGAATACAACATATTTCATTCATCATGAAAAAATGATTAATTTATCAATTTTATTTAATTTTATTAATTTTTTAAAAATAGTATCAAATATTTTCAATAAAAAATATTCATTCAAAATATTTTTATTTTTTTAAATTTAATTTAATTTAATTTTTCGTTAAAAATCTAAAAAAATTTTTTAAAACTCCTAAATAGTTACCATATTCATAGTGAATCGTGACGTCAGAAACGAGAAATGACACGTTAATTTTTATTACATTTATAAATAAAGATAATTTGAATAAAACAAAATGAGAATGATGAGTAAATAATTGTAAAAAGTGATAAAAGGCATTAAGTGCTTTTATTCAATGTATAATACATGCCTAGCTTATTTTCACACTTATCTTTTATCATTTTTTACGATTATTTATTGACTCGGGAGGGATAAACATAGTTTTCATCCATTTTTACAAATGTTTTAAAGCAATCTCATTATTTTGTTTTATCTAAATTATCTTTATTTATAAATGGCATGTAATAAAAATTAATCATGTTTCGCTTTTGATGTCGTGATTCAATATGTTATGATTATGATGACTACTTAGGAGCCTTAATCATGTTAAAAAGTGTGTCAAATTTTTTCATATTTTTTAATTCATTCATAGGAAATAAAAATAAAAATAAAATTGATATTGACCATCACTACATGAGTTTAGCAGATAAAAATAAAAATAAAATTGATATTCACCATCACTACATGAGTTTAGCAGATTGAAATTTGATGTAAAATAATCTTTTATCGAGCTTAACAATGTGATGTACTCAAAATTGGATTTG